TGATCCACTCCAGTAATGCACACCTCGGGCTTCCCTGCGGACCCCAACCCATCTGGCAGGTTATCCAATTAGAAGTACTTAGCTAATGACTCGCATTTAGTGGGGCTGTGACTCCACAGTGAATTCTTTCCCATCCTGGGGCGGACTTTCTTTTTCTTTCCAATAGGTCAGTTTGCCAGTGGAAAACCTGCTTCCTTCAATCATGGAAGCCCCCGGCACCTTCTCCCGGGGAGAGTGAGTGTGGGGTGGTTCTTCCTGCGGGGACTTCCTCGTACCTTGGTGTGAGGTTTCCATGTTTATCCTGCTCAGGGTGTCTGAGCTTCTGAAACTATGAGCTGATGTTTCTCATTAGATTTGGGGTTTGTTGGGGGGGGGTGTCATGATTTGTTTTTATTCTGGGGATTAAACCCAAGGCCTCCCACATACCCTTGCCAGGAGCCACACCCCTGGCCTTGGGACTGGTGGATTTATTGCTTCTATCACATTTTTTCATTCTGTTCTGGGGCTTTAATCCTGTATCGAGCCAACTGACTATGTCTCATGTCTCTCTTACACCCTGTTCTGTTCCCTCATTCCCCTTCTTTCTTCCTCAGGCTGTAAGTTTTGATATGTTTATTGGGCTGTCCAAAACTGTCTTCTGTAATGTCCATCCTGCTGTCACCCCCATCAATAGAGTACTTAATTTTAAATACTGTATATGAAGCTTCTGAAAGTTTCATTGCATTCCTTCCATTGATTCTAGTTCTTTGCTGGAATGCTGCATTCATTCCACCCATCTTTTCCCTGATTTTCTTTAACATATTAATCATAGTTACTTGAAGCCCTTATATTTTTTTCTGAATTGCAACAAAATATTTACATAGGTCAGCTTCTACGGATTGCTTTCCGTCTTGATAGTGATTTCGCCCTGCTTGTTTGCCTGACTGGTAGGTCACATTCCATGCTGTATGATGCTGATGATGCACTTCAGAGGTTCTGGGATTTTGCTTTCTCTAAAGACTCAGTCCCTGGAAGTGGACATCCCAGCAGGGATCAAGGGATGGCCTCGAGACAATACTAAGTGTTACCTGGCATTTGCATCCCCCCACCCCAGCTGGGGCCCCAGAGGTAGCACTGAATCCATTTCAGACCCAGAACTCAGCGAGGCCATTTGCCTTCCTGGACAACACAGGTAAATAGATAGACCCAAAATCAGGGAGGGGAGAACCAGCAACTCAGGTTCCCGCCCCCTGCCCTCAGCTCTCCCGCCCATGGGGAGCTCCTGCTCTTTCCTGGCCCTGCAGCCACCAGGATGTTCTGTGCTGTTTGCTAAGTCATTCTCCATCTATGCGTTGCGAAGTCCCCTGACACAAGGTCGTGGGGTTGGAAGCCAGAGTCATTGGCGGTGTCCCCTGCTTTGCTGCAGAAGCACCCTGTGGCCCTCGCCTCTGCCTGCCCTCTCCCCATACAGAGGGCTCCTTCCTCCCTCCAGGCCTCAGTTGTCTCCCCAGACTAATCAGCGCTGGGACCCCAGACTAATCAGCCTCCTGGGACCCTTGACAGCCCTTCCGTTGGCAGCAGGAAGCACGTGTGGCCAGGGTAAGGACTCAGAGTCAGGTTCTCTGGAACATCCTGAGACCCCCTGGGCTGCCCCGGCCGGTGATCAGAGCTGAGAGCCATGTGTCCCCTCTGCAGCACCCCTCTAAGAAGTGAGCCACTATTTCCCAGGATAAGGCCTGAGAGCCTTGGGCCACTCCACTGCCTCCAGACAGGAAGCCGGTAAAACTGTGCGCACAAAGCAGGCTGTTCTCCTTCTCACCCCATTCTAGTCCCTGCCACCTGCCAACAGCCGCACTCCTAGGTCTCCCTCTTCCCCCTCTGCACTGTCCCCACCCTGGCCCATCTTGTCCCATCTCCACTCTGCAGCTGCCATGGTCCCTTCAGGCTGCTCCCTGGATCACCACCTACTACCTCCGCCACCCACCCAGCTCTATGAGGACTTCCCTGGCTTCTTGCTGTTTAAACACCTCACTGTGGCCACACACACTCCCCGCAGATCCCCAATCCCTCTCACCTACTGACCCCCTCTCGTGTACATTCCATGCCTCCTCTGTACCAGGGATCACCCCCAAGCTGGGGCAGGTGTTTCCATGACAAAATGTATAACAGAATTTTAATGTGGTCCCCAGCAGACTCTGCCTGTCTTGGCAACTGAATGAGTGACTTGGAGAGCTGAGTGAGTGACTCATGTCTTTAGCTCGAAACCTGTATCAGTGTGCAAGCTGTTGTGTGCACACGTAGGCTTGGGGCTGGGCGAGTCCTGGCCTCCAGCTGTCTGGCCTGAATTCCAGTGGGACTTTCTGGGGCAGCTCTGTATCAATTTCAGGCCATCAATAATGCATCCCTTCAGAGTGGCCCGGGAAGCCATTAGCTGGGCCTGCAGGCCCAGATATGTGGCCTTGGAGAAAGCAGACCAGGGTGCCCAGGGGAAGTTCAGATCAGCATGGGCAGGAGGGGCTCCTCCTTTAGAAGCTTCCTACCCAGAGGGAGTGGAGTGGCCTTACACTCTCAGGCCTCTCGGATGAGCTCAGCCGCATTGCTCCATGGGCCCTCGAGGACCTAGAGGCTGTGGTGCCAAGGAGTGGCATGTACCCTCTCCTCCTGCACAGAAGACACCTCAAAATGGGCCAGCCTCGCTCTCCCACCCTCTGAGACCAGCAGCCCTGTTAGGTGCTGAGCTGGTGGGGCCAGGATCTGAGCTCCATCTGAGATCAGCGTCAGGGTGAAGGCTGTGGCCGAGTCAGGGCTCTGCATGTGGCTGGGATCAGGGTTCAGTCTGACCAGCATCAGGCTCAGTCTCCATCTCAGTTTTGAGTCTCCTCCAGGTTGAGGCTGGAGTTAGGCTCAGTCTGAAACCACAGAACTAAACAAGCTACCAGTTCGTTCACTCATTTAACATCACCTGAGTGCCTCCTGCGTGTCAGGTGACATCACAGCAAGGTTGCTGTCCCGTTCTGCTGGGGGGTGGGGCTGGCCGCCTGTGCCAGGGTTCTTGCCACTAGCCAGAGCCAGCTGCACACGTTTCTCCAAAATGCCCATGACACCATGTTAGTGGCTTGAAGTCAGCCTCCTGCATCGATTAGCGTGCCCTGGGAAGAATTTGGCTTTTTTTACCCAGCACACTGTCGGGGTGAACGAGAGATAAGCCTGTAGATAGTCATTACATAAAGTGGGGAAGGAACTGCACATAATTACCCAATCTCCTTCCCAAACTCCACAGTAAAGGAGGGACAAGAGATAAGAAGTTGCCTCTTGTCCTGTCAGAGCTTTCAAGGGGTTTGGGGAAAGCAGACAGGAAAGCGGTAATGAGGGAAAGGGATTGATTGTCCCCTCGGTGCACCCGGAGCGAAGACAGGGTGTGCTTTGAGGCAGGGTGCAGTGGCCAAAAGCCTGCACTCGGCATTCAGAATCCCTAAGGCCCTTTCTGAAGCCTGCAGGGTCAGGAGATGAGCCCATGCTCCCAGAGTCAAGAGGTTCTTCCTTGGGAGAGATTGAACCGCAGGGCTCTGCCAGGGAGAGACGTGGGGCTGGAAGTGTCGGTCAATGAAAGTTCTTCCGCTAGTGGTGTGACAGTCGGCCCCAGACCCTGCTCAGCTCAGGCAGGCACAGGTATAACCTGACCTGAGCATTCCCTGGACCACACAAGAGACACAGACATCAGGAAGGTGGCCAGTGCCAGTTTGCCAACTGGCCAGCCCGGCGCTAGGAAGTGATTCTGGTTGTATACACAACCTGCTTTCATAAAAATAGTATTTTTGTAAAATACATGAAAACATCAGAATGCGGTAGTGCAACACAGAGAATCCAAACACACTGGCGTGATGAGTGCCTTTTGTAGGTGGGGGTTAGGAAAGTCCTGGAGCAGCCAGGGAAGTGGCGCCGAGACCATGCGTGCCTGGTGTCTCTGTGGAGCGGGGGGAAGCTGGGCATGGAGAGAGGAGGAGATCGTGTTGGATGAATGGGCAGGACCGGAGAGGAGTGCGGGCTTCCTCCCAGGGGTGGTGCTGACACTGAGCTGTGTGGATGGGTGCAGCGGTCTGATGGCTTCTGAGAATGGCAGTAGGGGACACAGGAGCTGGGCTGGCCCGGGTGCGAGCCGGCAGCAGAGGTGGGGAGAAGTGAGAGAGCTCTTGGGCTGGGGCTGGATTGGGAGCAGATTGGATGTTGGAATGAGGGACAGGAAGGAAACAAGGTAGATGCTTATGTGTGCGGCTCCAGCTAACAGGAGGTGGGACACCTGTGGTCCCATCAGCTTTGGGGGGATGGTAACTCCCAGTTGGACCTGCCTGTTTGCAGCCCCCTTGAGCTGGCTGAGTGGCACTGTCCATTAGATAGCTGGGGTAGCGAGTGTGGCATTCGAGGGGTCAGGGCTGAGCTTCTGAAACCATTGCAAGCAGTAACCAAGGGAGGGAGCCACTCAGACCACTATTGCTCTCCCTGGCCTCAGCACTGCTGCACAGAGCAATGTAATGCCTGTTTAGGGCACTAGGTGGCAGCGAGGGCTTTGCTGAGCTACAGCCAGGCGTCCATGTCAAACCCACACTTGGCCTACACCCAGATGTCTGGGAAGGCTGAGTGTGAGCAGCCATCTCAGCCATGAACCAAGAGCTCTCTGGGAGGCTTTGTAAGAAGCTCTTCCCAACAAAAGTAAACCATGTTAAAAACGTGTTCAGGTTTTTACAAACCCCTTAGCATGCAGCCCAAACCCTCAAAGAAAGACAGCAAGGCCAAGGAAGGTGAAGGTCTGAGGCCACATGGCCAGAAAGATGCGGGGCCTGAAGTCCAGTCCCACAGCTGTCCTTAGAGTGTGGAACCAGCGGATTTCTAAGAAGCACAGTGTGCAGACTTTGGCTGTTCAGCCCTCTCCTCCTGATTCCGCCCCACATCAGGAGCAAGACCCCACGTCAGGCCGAGGTCCCCCACTCTTCCAGCTTACCGACCTGGCCCTCTGCCTCTTGCAGTTTGAGATCCGGCAGCTGCGTGCGCACCTGGCACAGCAGGACCTGGACCTGGCAGCAGAGCGGGAAGCAGCCCTGCAGGCCCCACACGTGCTCAGCCAGCCACGAAGCCGCTTCAAGGTGGTGGAGGCTGGTGCATGGGATGAGGAGACGGCAGCTGAGAGCGTCGTGGAGGAGCTGCACCCCTCGCAAGGTGAGTCCAGTCTTGGAGTCAGGTGAAGCCCCCCAGGGCTCAGGGTTCCTAGACCTGGACTGGCCATGGCCGCTCTTCTGCCTACAGTTGGGGGAATCCCAGATTGGGATCCTCAGGTCTCCCTTGTGGAGTTCACGGAGAACAATGAGTCAAGCACTGCTGGCTCAACTAGACATGATCTTTGGCCCTCATGTTCCATTCATACGTGTGGGTCCAGGAGTGCCTATGTCTTGCCTTCCCACCACGGGAGGTAAGCTGCCCAGAATAGCCACCCAATGGCTCATCACTACCAGGCTTCAGCCAGACTCTGGGACTTTCCTGTTGGACTCCACATCCAAGGGCGCAGAAGACAAGACCAGGCCTGGGCCGCAGCCTACTGCCTAACGTTTGCAATGGGACGGGGGCTGTGACCCAGGCAAGGCACTGCGCAGAGGGGAGAGGTTTCAGATCCAGGTCCCAACTGCATGCTCAGCTGTGCAGCCCCAGGCAGGGAATTCAGCCTTTCTGGACCTTGGTTTTGTCAGTCTTGCTTGCGATGAGGCCAAAACTGAGCCTTCCTCTCAGGCGGGTTGGGGAACTGCACAGGGCCACGTGGCCAGGACATGGTGGTGCTGGGCTCAGAGCGGGACCAGCAACTGTAGCTTGAGCCCATGGTGACTTCACCTTGGGGTGCTGTGTCCCCTTGCCAGGGCAGCGACCCCAGAGCCATGTAGGCTGAGCAGATCGGGTGGCTCTGCCTCTCCTTGGCTTCAGTGTGGCTTTCTGTGGCATGGACTCCTAACTGGAGCCCCTTTGGCCTCCCAGGAAGTGTGTGGAGCCAATGGGCCTGAGAAAGCTCTGGAGCTGTGGATGACTTGGGGGATCAGAGGTTGCTCTTCTGATGCTTGGAGAGAGCGTCAGATCTAAGAACCATAGAATCTGGGGCCTGGTAGGGGAGCTGCTGTGTCCAACTCTGTGCTGCCATCAGAGTCCCTGCTGTGACTCTGCCAGGAGGCCCAGGCCACCGCTCAGCTCCTAAGAGCAGGTGCCTGACCCCTCCCCACAACCTCTCCCTGCAAGGGCTCTGCCGACAGGAAGATTCTCCTGCAAAGGAGCTATTGCCCAGGCCATCCCCTCCTTCCAGACACTGCTTTCTAGGGACGTCACCTACACACCATAGCTGCTTTCTGGGGCAAAGCTCTCCAGGTCCTTGCTTCTCGGAGGAACACCTAAACCAATGCAGTTTCTTAGGGGCTGCAGGCCCAAGGCAGGGAGCCACAGGCCTGAGTTCCCCGTGATGCTGCCCCAGGTAGCTGTTTGTCCCCCGTGGTTCTACTGACCCCTAACTCTGCAGCCCACGCTTGGACTCCTGAGCAGAGCTCGATGCTCCCCCTGTTCAGCCATGGCTCCAGTCCTGCTTCTCCTCTGGGCCAGCTCCAATCCCTGCCAGCCTTGCTTCTTGCATGGATCTTGAAATCGCCCCATCCTCACCTTCACTGCTCTCCCACCGTTGTTTCCAACCTCACCCGGCTCTCTGACCTCAGCTTTGCTCCTCCGGGGACTTCTGCAGTCCCCCTTCCCCCCGACATACAATGGTCATCCCAGATTCCTAATGTGGAACCTGACTTCATGCGCTCCATCAGGGAAAGCCCAAATCCCGCCAAGATGTGTAAGAGTTTGCTGGGTCCCCATGACAAAGTGCTACCCATTGAGTAGTTTCAACAGCTGAAATCGGCTCTCACCTGTCCCAGATGCTGGGAGCCTGAGATCACAGTGTTTGCAGGGAAAGTCTCTCTGAGTATGGTGACAGAGGACCTCTGCCTGGCCTCCAACCTGCCTTCTGCTGTGGACCTGTGGCTCCTTTGGCTGCAGACACATTGCTGTACTGCTGTCTGCTTCCCGCCTCCACGGCAGCATCCCTGTGCATCTGTCTCCATCCCTGCTTTTCAGCAGGGCTCTGAGCCTCCTGGATGCTGCCCTCCGAATGGCCCAGCTCCCTGCCAGCCTCCTCTTGGCACTTCACCCCATTTCTGGGTGAGCACCCAGCCCTCCCAGCCTTCCTGGGACCTCACACGAACCCCGCCAGGCTGCTTCGGGGGCTTTATCTGTCTTGTGTCTCCAGGGCCTGCTCATCTGGGCCTCAGCAGAGTCTGGGCCTGCACAGAGCCTGCAAGTCCATCACTGTCCAGGAACAAAGGGGCCTCTAGGACATCACCTGTCCCTGCAGCCATGGCTTCTCTGGTGAGCAGTCATCGCCTGCGGAACTCACTGCCGGCCTTGGGTGCCCAGGCTGGGACTGTGGATGCCCCACTTACCTTTCTGAAAGTCCTCCTGGCAGTGGGCATAGTGCCACCTGGGCCAGCTTCCTAAGGACAGGACAACCCAGTCCACATCCAGGCCCAGCCTGGTCTTCCCCCAGAGGCTGGTGCCATTTGCTCTGTGGTCCTGAGCTCTTATGGCTGCCCTGCAGCAGCTTCTGCTCTGTCATCAGGGCCCCTGCTGGGAGGTAAAGGGCGTGGGTGTTCTCAGCCAGTACCTCCAGATGCTGGACACCAGGTGCCTCATTTGGACCCTCAGGGAGCCAGAAGCACAAAGCCAACCCTTCGTGCAGCCCCACACAAACGGAGCTGGGTCACTGCTGCTTCCCCAGCTCCTGTGTGAGCAGCCAAGGCCGCACAGGGCAGCTCCCAGAAGGCAGAGGGAGAAAGTGCGTCCGAGTCACAGCCCAGCCTCACTATGTGTCACTAGCCGGTGTTACTGATGCGGCTAGTGACATGATGAGGTGCGAGCCCTCATCCTCCCAGCCTCACTGTGTGTCACTAGCCGGTGTTACTGATGCGGCTAGTGACATGATGAGGTGCGAGCCCTCATCCTCCAGGGAACTGGGACAGGTTGGAGGCCTCCCATAAGGTGCCAGCCACACACCCTGGGAGTGGCTGCAAAGCCTGGGACCCCACATCAGGTCCTGCTACCTCCATGGTGACACCAACTAGGTGTCTCCCACTTCCTGTCATACAGTATGCGTTCCCATCTGCCACCTCCGCCACCCCTGGAGCCCTCAGTAGCAGCGCCAAGGCCCCGTGGCAGAGGGCAGAGCCTGGGCGGCAGGGGCACACGTGATTTGCTGCCTCCTGTGGTCTGGGGACTCGTGGCAACCCCCATGGGTCTCTCTGTGACCCCAGCTGTGTCCAGGGAGGGATCTCTTGACACTTAGAAATTACAGCCAGGCAAGCTGCGGATGAGAAAGGGCAGCACTGGTGCTGGCTCTGAACCTCAGGCCTGCAGCACGCAGCAGGGAGTTAACCTGCAGCCTGAGTGATGAGTCAGGGAGCCTGGGGGGCTGTGTCCCTCCGGCGGGGGAGTAGGGGGCTGGTGGGAGGGTGGGGTACGGCCCGGCCCACGAGGAGAAGCAGCTCTAGTCTCAGCCCTACCAGCGGTCACATCCCATCAGACGATGCGGCCGCTTGTGTTTAGACTTGCTCCGGCACAAATCATTTTTAAAACCTGGGCTGCAGAGTTCTAGGCTGTGGGGCCTGCCAAGTTCACAGTGCCCCTGTGTAGTCATTAATACTTCGCTCCCAAATTTATTAGTCTTGAAGCTTTCTTATAACTCCATGAGTTACAGCCCCCGAGCCACAGACTCCGCTGTCCGTCACTGCAGACTTGGCGTCCCCCACGCCGAGCCAGCGTCCAGAGAAGACGCCGCTGCCGGGGAGCCTGTGCCCACCCACCCCAGGGAGCCTATGCCAGGCGCAGCAGGCAGGGCAGGGAGCTGGGCAGGCACCAGGGCTTGGCCTGGAGAGGAACAGGGCAAGGCGCCACTGCTGGTGCCCCAAAGGCTCCAAGACCATTCCGTGGGTGAGGGTAGGAGCCAGCCCAGGGTTCGGCTCCAAAACAAGAGATGCGGGCCCTGGGTGATCTGGAGGTGGCCCTGGTGTGAGTGCGGCTGAGGAATCTGGGGGCCTTGACAGCGAGACAGGTGCCCACCCAAGGCTGGATGCAGGGGTCAGAAGCCCCTGGATGCCTCACACACTGTGCAGGAGTTGGGGTGTTGGTAAGGAAAGGAAGGAGGTGCCGAGAAGCAGCTTGGGCCCGGCCCAGGTGACAGGAGGGCCAGTCGCCAAGCTGGAGGATGTGGCAAGAGGGAGAAGCCAAGTTCTACTGCAGATGGGTTGAGTTACAGGAGGCTGGAGGTTGTCCAGTAGACGTCCGGGGACAGTGGCCAGGTTGGTCACTGCCCGAGAGAGAGCGGTCTGGGCTGAAGGTCGCTGGGTTATTTTTATCAGCAGCTGGGGTGAGGACGTGATCTCCTTGAACACACAGGCAACACAGAGACAGGAGTGGGCTGGATCCCTGACTCAGAAAGCTGTCAGGGGGCTGCACCTTGGACTGAAGCCCAGGGATCCCCCTTGCCCATAGGATGGAGGGAGGAGACGCCCCGACAAGGGTGTGAGGCCTGGCCTTACCCTGCACCTGCGGAGAAGACCTGGATGTCCACCAGGGGGCAGTTCGTAGGCACAGCCGGAGGATGTGGGCTGTTCAGGGGACTTGCAGGGCAGCAGGGAAGATGGAAGATAAATACCAGCTCCCTCCCAGCCTCCACCTCTGCCTCCGCCTTCCCTCTGGCCCACTGGAGCTCACACTTAGTTCTTCAGCACAGAAACTGGAAATCAGGAAGGCACAGCTGGGCAGGAGCTCCCCACGGAAGAGACACTCAGGAGTGGGGGCAAGGTAGCAGCAGGAAGTCAGGCAGGCCCTGCAGCCCCAAACACATCAGGCCATGGAGACAGCAAGCTCAAGGGTGGGTCCATGGGGAGCAGACCCCGGCGTCCCTACTGTGCTCCCTTGAGGCAGAGGCTCCTGGGGCCTCCCAGCCTCCCTGAGGGCTGAGGAAAGGAAGCCACCTCAGAGCTCACTCTCAAAACTGCTTTGCACTAAGGCAGAATTCCCCAGAGGAGTGTGGGCCACAGTACAGAGGGCCACACTCCCCAGAGGAGTGTGGGCCACAGTACAGAGGGCCACACTCGAGAACAGACATGATAGACAGGCCATGGAGGAGCGGAGAGGACCATGGAGGAGAGGCAGCCCCTGAGGTCCTCCACTGGGGGCTGGGAGGTGGTTCAGGTATCTCTGCCCTGTTCCCCTCTGTGTCACCTCTTAGGGCTGTGCAACCACCTAGCCCAGCCACATCAAGTCCACAAGCGCCTCCCCAATGCATCCCTAGTGCAGATAAGAAACTGAGACCTGAAGAGGGGATGGGATGCACTTGGGCTCCTACAACTGGCTAGTAGTAGCACCAGGACCCAACCAGAACAAGTGACCAGGTCACTGCCTGACCCTGTACCTTCACTGCCTACTGGGAGCGGCCATACCAGGGCAGCCACAGGACGATGGCGTCTACAACACCCATTATGACGCCTACAGAGTAGCGCTGCCGGCTGAGGTTGGGCAGGCCCTGGAGCCGGTGTCAGGCACGCCCCTGACCACAGGCACAGACAGAGCACAAGCCAAGAACGCTTTTAAGAGCCAGCCTCATGCACACGGTGTGAGGTGGACAGGCCCCTGTAGCGTCTGATGAGTCAGGAAGGTCACATCTGTCTCCTGCCAACCTCAGTGCCTCCAGAGCCCGGGTGCAGGCTGGGGCCTAGGACGGCCCTGGAGCAACTCCTGCCTTCCAGAGGAGTCCGATGTGCTGGCTCCCAAGTGCCTGTCATCTCTGTGACTTGGGAGTGTGGGTGTCATTACCCCGCTTTCAGGCAGGGCCGGTGGCTGGTAAGGCACTCGGCTGTGTTGGTGGAGTTGGGGTTTGGAGACTTCCCTGCGCCCAGGACCTGGCAGGCTGGGGAGCGGCCCCGAGCTCGACCTGATGGTTGCTGCAGGAGCCTGAGGTCCTTGTCCTGTCCTCTCTGGGCCTTGCTGGGACCCTGCCGTTCATCACCCTCTCCCACCACTCTTCTGTCCCTCAGGCTGGTCACCCCCATGGGGAGCTGCCCCTCATCTTCCTGCCTGAACTCTGGCCCCTTCCACGCCACACTCCCCACCACTTCAGGAGCAGCCCCTCTACACCTCACTGCCCCCAGGGCATGGTGACGTTCCTTAGGATGAAGTTCAGGCCCCTCTGCTTTTCTCTCCTGCTCCCAGGCCACTCTGAGAATCTCAGCTCTCCTCCCTCCCACCTGCCCCACTCCTCCCAGGATGATCCAATGCAGACATCTCTCGTTTAACACCTACCGGTTTAGCAACTGCCCAGACTTGCAATGGGAGGCAGGTTGTTTAAACTTAGGACCAGACTCAGACTTAACAACACCTTTTTGGGGGTACAGTTTTGTACATCTTATTGATAGAGCCTCGGGTTTTTTTGTACAGTATACCTTGTACTGTAATTTTGCTGATGTAGTACTGTAGTTTCCTGTTGTGATACAGTACCGCATGAAGGGTTATGCAAATAAAGGCAAAGTCATCAGGTGGGCGTTTCCTTTGACCATTTCTTTGTTCTGAATATTGTAATGTAGTTACTACCTACAATTCCTCATTTAGTGACCACTTTATTTAATAACCTGGTCACCAGAATGGAGCTCAGTCATTAAGCATGGAGCTCCAGTAGGTATTGTATTTTAGACACATCCATTAAGCATGTTGCATAAATAAACACAGCATCCATGAAAAGACAGATGTCTTCAAAATATGTATTATTTCTATAATGTCTAATATAGGGGAAGAATAAGCTACTTGACATTTTTTAGATATTGAAGCCAAAAAAAGTCTCAATATCCAGAATAGATATGGTTTGCCTGTTTTGATGCAGAGGGGAGTGATTTTGGAGCACGATCTTACACGGCCTGTCAATTGCACATGATACAGCAGAACAGCTGTGCCAACAAGTCTGAAAAATTGATCAGTGCACTCTTTATTGGGCTCACTTTTAGCAACTATTGTCTTCCGACAGTTCCTCGGGTGATAATAAAACTGATTCATTTGAAGGTAAATAAATTCTCAGATATAAACAAACTCTTTAGAAGTTGTGATACCTTTGAAACTTCTTTGATACATAGAAATCTCTCATATTATATGGCTGTACGTATTTTCTCAAGGGTTTTATGTATGCACTCCTGAACCACAGGAAAGGATTGATAATTATCATGGATATTCTTGGCTCCGTGATTGTTTTGTGTTTAATGTTTGTCTTATAGTCCTGGCTAGCCCACTCCTTTACTACATACTTTATTTGTCTTTCTATCCTCCGATGTATTTACTGCAGAGGCAGACAGAGCAGGCGCTCCATTAATGCCAGTTGCACTGTCAAGGATATCTGGAATTTCAGGTGATTTTTAGAGCCAAGGAGGTTTGTGGTTCTGTGATATCTTACTAGTATTATGTATTTTTGTTTCATTGGTCTATTGCAATGACCTACAGAAGCTCCTTCATTAATGAGCCCAAATTTCACATTCAAAACACAGCTTCCAGCAATATCAACTATGATCACTGTAATCTTGAAGAATTCACAGAAGCTGCTAAGATGTCAGGAGAAGGCATATGAGGAAATACAGGAATAGACGTCTCATTGATCTGCTAAAGATCGTACCTGGATTGCATCTGTTTTGCGATCATGATTATTGATGAGTGCTTTCTATATCATTGCAATATCATAAGATCCCCTGGGTTTTCTGAATAATTTTCATTCCTGCCTTTTCTGACATGTGAGGGATGCATAGTGCCTGAACCCAGATGGTATGATGATTTGTTGGTTGCTGCTGTATTTTATTTTAAAAGTTATTAGCATGTGTTCTTAAGAAAACTCCATTGAACTATTTTGATAATGTGATATCTAATTATAGACATTCCTCGTGTAACAACCTACCCGGTTTATCACTTTTCAGACATAAGACCAAGGTGCCATGCTTGGACTTACGACCTGCCACTCATACAACCTGTCCTTCTGGTTTTTTATACAGTTCTGTTTATCTTGTTGATGGAGCCTCAGTATCTTTTTTGTGTACAGTACACTTTGCTTATACAGGACTGTAAGTTTTGCTGATTGTACAGTACAGTACTGTAGTTTTATGTTCTGTTACACATTACAGTATTGCATGTGAGAGTTAGCCAAATAAAAGTGCCAAGTTGGAGTTTCCTTAAACCATGTCTTTGTTCAGAATGTTATAATTTACATATTATCTACAATTCTTCATTTAGCGACCAATTCATTTAGTGACAAAACTTTGTCTTTAAACAAGGAGTGTCTGTATTTCTTTTCTTTTTTCCTTCTGTTCTTGAGGTACCGGGGATTAAACCCAGGGTCTCTGCATTGAGTTCCATCACCAGCCCTTTTTTTCTTTTGAGGGAAGGTCTTGCTAAGTCACCAAGTTGCTCAAGCTGGGCTCGAACTTGCAACCCGTCCACCTCAGCCTCCCAGAGTGCTGGGATCACAGGTGTGGCCCATCACACCTGTCTTGGACCAGTATTTCTCTTAGACCCTGTTCCCATCTCTTCCCTTGACCCGGACAGCTTTTCACATTCTTGTCTCTTATTCCCTCACTAGCTTCTTACTGTGCACCTGCCGCCTATAGGGACTTAGCAGAGGGGGGAGTCCCTTGCACCACTCCAGGCATTTGCTCTGTGGGACAGAAGCCTGGAGCCCCTGCAGGAGCGAGCCTCGGGGTGTTGTCATGCTTCCCCAGTCCCTGTGGCTGGCTGCAGGTTCCTGCCAATAGGATTTGAGGGCACCCACACTGAGGGCAGTGTTTCCAGGGACTCTTGAGTGTCACAGGTAGATTCGAGATGCAGGCATCTAGGCAGGGAAAGTCTCACGGTTCCTGCCTGGCTCACCTCAGAGTCAGAGAAACTGAGGACAGCAGAAAAGGGTCTGCCTGGGTCAGGTTATCAGGCAGCTTTGGCATCAGGACTTGGATCCTATGCAGGGCCTTCTGGGAGACGGGTGCCTCTGTTCCTGGCTGCGGGGTGGGAGGAGGTTGGAGAGTGTGACCTGGCCAGAGCCCCTGCCTCAGACTGACAAGCATCCCTGTGCCCTTGTGTCCCTGCCCCGCAGATGCAGCCGTGAACGATGACATGAACAGCTACATCAGCCAGTACTACAATGGGCCCAGCAGCGGTAAGTGTGGGCAGGCTCAGCTCAACCCTCGGAGGGGTGAGTGTGCCTGGAGCTTCGGCTTCCAGCAAACCCAGAGCAGAGTGGGGTGCAGGGGCCAAGCCTGTGGGTGCCAGGGTGGGGGCAGCCCGTGGTCACTGACCTATGAGAGGGCTTATGAGGCTGGGACAGACAGTCGTTCCTGATTCATGTTTCCTTTCAGGGAAGAGTCTCAGGGAAGCCTAGTGGTCACTGACCTATGAGAGGGCTTATGAGGCTGGGACAGACAGTCGTTCCTGATTCATGTTTCCTTTCAGGGAAGAGTCTCAGGGAAGCCTAGTGGTTTTGACTCCTGGGAAAGACTGGGTTTTAAACTAGCACCCAGTACTTTAGCATCTTACTTCTCTGACCGGATAATGTAAACCTTCCGTGTGGGATTCACAGCCCTTAATGTCTAGCAGGCTCTGGTTGTAAGGACAGGGTATTAGGTTGTCCAGGCCTCAACCAATCTGCTAGTTCCAGGCTCAGCATCTCCCCTGTCTACTCCCCCGAAGCTCTGGGAGAAAGCTTTCCACCCCACACCACTGTGGCCCTGCCCAGGACCTCTCACCTAGAGAGCCACATGTGTTCATTGTCTGCCCCGGCAATCCATTCCCAGAGGCCAGTCAGTCCCCCCATGGCCCTTTTAAAACTCCAGCGACTCCAAGAGACCCAAGTCCTTTGTCCCAGCACAGGGCCAAGGTAGGTGGACTAGGTTAGGCCTTGCTTCTCGGTGGCTTACATAAGCCACAAAGCGCACAGCAGGTTATCAAGGCTGTGCTCCCAGTCACCTAACTCCATCACCTATGGACAGGAGCTGCCCTGGGCTCCAGAACACTTGGCTTCAACAAGACAGTGAGGGGAGGTACAGCTGGGTTCTCCTGAGGCTACCGTCCACCACGCTGCCTCTTGGACCCTCAGACAAGCCATCTCTGCAGCCTTCTCTGTCCCCACCTCCCTAGACCCTCAGATCTTTGGAATCCACAGAGCAAAAATGCCCAAGCCCACTGCCCTCACCAAGGGCCAGTGAGCTGTGGCCAGTAGCGACTGCGTGGCCTCCTCTCTTGCAGACAGCGGGATCCCAGAGCCAGGGGTGTGTGTGGTCACCACAGCCGCCATAGACATCCACCAGCCCAACATCTCCTCCGACCTGTTCTCAGTAGAGGCGCCCCTCAAGCGTGGTGGCAACAGCACCTGCGCCAGTGCCACCTCGGACAGCGCCTCCCGCTCTGCCCGCAGCTCAGTGACCCGGGCCCAGAGCGACAGCAGCCAGACACTGGGCTCCTCCACGGACTGCAGCGTGGCTCGGGAGGAGCCGTCCTCGGAGCCCACGACCCTGGCCCTGCCACCGCTGCCACCCCAGCAGCCCACAGCCCAGGACCTGGTGTCCTCTCCGTCTGAGGACCCCTGCCCTCCCCAGAGGGCCTTGGACCCAGCGCCCCTCACACAGCCCAGTGTGGCGGGCTCAGCCCACACCAGCCCTGAGCTGGAGCGGAGGGTCTGTCTGTTCAACAGGAAGAACCGGGAGGGCTTCGCTGTGGTGCAGATCCAGCCTGTCCTACACTTCCCACCTGCTGGCCCCAAGCTGGAGGAGAAGCTCAGGTCCCTGGAATCCAAAGAGCAGCCGCTGCACAGGGTCCCAGAGGCCTGAGCCTGCAGGGAAGACAGACACAGCCATCTTGAAGCTTGCCCGGAACCCAGGCCACCGAGGGCCGCACACGGGGCAGGGATCCTGCCTGGCCTCCCTCAGGGTGCTACGGCCTCTGGGGAGGTGACCCAAGCCAAGAGGTCACCCGCCTCAGACCTCAGGACCCAGAGCCGCACCTCCTCTCGGGAGGGTGGTGCTCATGGCCAGGTTTTAGCCTTTTCTACAAAGCCAGTGGGCGGCCCAGCCTCCACAGGACAGAGCGTGGGCCAGCTCAGCCTCTTCCGTGGCCTTCGTCCTGACGCCCACCCCGGACTCTCGGGGACAGCACTGTGAGCAGGGGCGGCCCAGCCCCACCCCAGCATCCTGCCAGGAGTCCAGGGTGGAGATGACGCCTCCCCCACCCCACTCTCTCTGCGGCATGAGCATTCTGATCTCTTAAAGACAAACCTAATCTTCACACAGAAGATAGGTCTGGAACTGGGGCCCCTGGGGGTGGGGAGACAGCCATTTTCCGACCTTGGCTTTAATAATAAAAACCAGCTGCACTGAAACACCCGTTTTGGAGGTTTTCCTTGGCTGGGTGCTGTGTCCAGAGTGGCTCACTGGGGCCAGCACTGTCTGAGCAGTCCGTGGGGGCCCAGCTCTCTCCCACAGCCCTGAGGCCTTTGCAGTGGGGCCCTGGACCTGTCCCCACCCACAGCAACCCCTAGGTAGCCCCCTGACTGGAGCCTATCCCAGGGGACCTCACACTCAGCCCATAGCCTGCCCTCCTCCTGGGGTCCCTGCTGGGGTGCACGGTCTGCCCAGTACACACTCATGAGGCCTAGTTGGCTTTGTTCACCCCTTGCAGTATCTTGGACCTGACCATTCCCCTTCCAAAGTAGCCGTCCCCGCCCATCACCACCTCGCCCTGGCTGGCTGGTCTCTGTGGGTTGAGCTGCTGCAACTCCTCATCAGGCCAAGCCTTGGTCCCACCTCCAGTCTGGTCCCCTGGGCTGCTAGGCCTCCCCCATTTAAAAGCTGTCAAGTGGTTTTGTGTTTATGACCATGTTTTCTTTTTATGTGTGTGTGGGGTCCTGCTGCCTGCGGGGAACCCGAGCCAGGCTCACTCATTTGTGCCCTGGCTCCAGCCTCCTTTCCAATCTGTCCTTTCTCCTTCCACTTTGGGTGGTGGTCACCGTGCGAGTGTCCCACCTCCCCTTGCTCTAGGTCTGTTCTCTTCCTGACTCCTGAGTCCCCTCAGGCTCACCCGGACAATGCGGTCAGCCATGAGGTAGCCAGCCCATTTCCCTGCCTGCCTTTCCCTGCTGGAACCAAAACCCAGGCCACAGGCCTGAGCACGGCCACTTGGGAAGACGCTGGACTGGAGTGGGGTTATGGAATATCTACGCACAGGCCCAGGGCACCCTCCCAGTGAGTGGGGAGGTCAGCAGCTGTCAAAACAAGGTGTCAGCGGTGGCTATGTCCAACTGGGCCACTCTTAAGGCACAGCCAGAGGAGCTGTGTGGGGCAGCTGCTGTGTCGGGAGGTACACAGATGTCCCAAGGGCCCGGGTCACCAGCAGAGGGGTCACACTTCCATTCCTGAGCTCCCGTGGAGGCCAGAGAGGATGAGGAAGCTGCCTAGCAAGGGAAGCTGGGATACCGGAGCCCAGGTCTGCACGGGGCCTCAGGGCTCCCAGAGCTCTCAGAAAAAAGCAGCCACTTGGCTTGTGCCCTCTGATGGGCTGGATTTATAATCTGCGGGACAGGACTCAGCAGGGTCTATAACTAACAGTCTACGCCCACGGGGCTAGAAAAAGCCACTTCCCCAGCCAGGCCTAGCTGAGTGGGGACCTCCTCTTTGCCGAGCACCCCAGCAGCTCCTGAGCCACACTAGCTTCCCAGCAAGTCAGTGAGGTGGGCCGGTGCCCAACAAGCACTCACTGCTGCGAGGGCCGAGGCTCCAGGGAGGAGCCCCAGGGCAGGTGGGAGCCAGAGCCTCTGGCGCCTGTGAGGGAGCCACTTTTTTCCCCTCCATTGGCTTGCTGTGTTCTGTTTTATGAGAGCTCACCTGTTCTCAGTGTGCTTAAACATTGTGCTTCCTGTTGCTTTCACGTAGTAGATGAAGATGGAGACAGAGGTAAAGGCAGCTACGCCTCTGTGTGTCCAGAGTCCCCAGATGCAGATAGAGGCAGCTGAGTGCCTGCCTGTGGGCGCCTAAGGCCTCTAAGGGGAGGAAGCCTTGAGAGGAGGATCTTCAAAGAATAAAAGGTAGTAGAATCCAGTCCTCTGGGGCTGTGCTTTATGAAAGCAATTTTTACGGTATAGTTGCAGCACTGAACTGCAAAACGGACCCACTTCCGGGAAACATGAGTAGAAAATTTTGATGGTGGCCCTCCTTAAAGCCAGGTGCCAACCACTAAAAGCAATGGCAATGTCTCGGGGATGGCAGGGCCGTGGTGCATGCGGGAGCCACAGTGTGGGAGGCAAGGCAGGTACATGGAGAGGGCGCTGTGAGGAGGAGAGCCGTGCCGGGACAGTGTGGAAAAGGTCACTAAGGCTCTTCCTGTCAGGCTGAGCCAGGCACTCGTCCTCTGGTGCTGGAGAGGAAAGGTCAGGGCAGAGGCAGCGCTGGGAGGAAGGGCCAGGCTGCAGGCCGAGCTGTTGGCGAGACCCGGCCCCCTGGCTGTGGAGTTACGGGAGGGTGGCAGAGAGAGGAAAAGCCACCCAGCCGTGTGGGCAGACCGGGGAAGCGTGCCACTCCTGCTGTGGGCTTGGCTGCCCTTCCTTTGCCAGACCCCATCGCAGTGCAGGTCTCAGGCCTGGTCCTCTGGGCTGGGGCACAGGAAGTGGGCAAGCTTCCGCTCCACAGCTCCTCTGGGCCTCATAGCCTGGAGTAGGTTGATAGCTGGCGGGCAGCTGCGCCTGGCACACGGGGCCTGAGCACTGCCTGCCTAGCCACCTTTCCGAGAGCCACCCTGGGGCCCTGGGCAGCCGTCTGGGCTCTCCCAGAGGGAAGAAGTAACAGTTGTCACCTCCTGCAGGAGCAGTAGTGAACCCCATTTCCTGCAGTGACAGACCCTCTTCACCGTCCCCCTCTAACAGACCTGCGAAGTGGGCACTCTTTTCTCTGCTTTGCTGGGGAGGAAACAGAGGCACAGAGTGATTAATTCAATAACTGCCCCAGGTGCGGAACTAACCAGTGAACTGCTGCAGTGGGATTCAAACCTAGGTCCACCTGAGGCAATGCCACGCTGTATTCGGTGCTTCAAATCAGGAGCCACCAGGAAAGCCGGACACAGAAACAGCCCCTTGACCTCCTGGGGTGGGGGTGCGCAGCTTCCGGCCCAGCCCTATGGCCAGGGAGGCAGCCAACTCAGGGCTAGCAGTACCCAGTGGCCATCGCAGGAGACTGCTGCAGCCCCAGCCTGCTGCCCCCAAGATGGGAGCAGTGAGGTCTCACGCTCCCTGCCTGGTTCCTGACAGCCTTGACCAGGCCTCCAACCCAAAGCTTGACTTTTGGGTCAGTGAGGGTCAGGGCTGTCACAGAGCCCTAGCCTGAGTCCCAGGCTGTGCGTGGCCTAGGTGTCTCTCCATGTGGCGGGTTCACTCCCTTCACACGACCTTCAGCTGATGAGTCCTTTCGCGTTCCAGGACACCTCCTTCCCGGAGCCAGAATCCTGAGACTCAGGCTCTGCTGCTGCTGGTTTTTTGCCTGTAAGGAAAGGACTTGGGGCCAGAGCCCCAAATAAAAGAGGTCCAGTCCTGCAGCACTGTGCCCCCCAACACCTGTGCACAGTTGCTTAATCATGGCCGCCAGCTGCTCTGGGCTCAGCCAGTCAAAGCCAGGTGGGGTGGACACCTCAGGGCTCTGAGCCTGGGTTCCCACCCAGGGCACCTCCCAGCCCCAGTGCTGGATCCTCAGCCCAGCCCTGTTCCGCCCGCTCTGTGGCTCTGAGTAGAGCCCAGCAGCCGCTCCCACCCACGCAAACAAGAGCATGGCTCCTGCGGGCCCCACCCGAGAGGCTGTGGGATCACTAATGACATAATGGAAGGGGAAGCCCTCTGAGGATGTGTCAAGGGAGACGCGGAGAGCATCCTCATGAATAATACACGTCCAGGGTGTGTGGCTGCCAGCGCTCAGCACTTCTGGGGCGGGGCCAGGAGAGGCCCAGTTATGGTTTGGAGAGGGCGTAGGGCATAGTGGGGTGCATGTGTGCCCTGCCTGGACCCCACAGCCAGCTCTGGAGCCCACCCCGCTCACACGTACCCACTAGCAAACCCAGAGTACGGCAAAGAGCACTGCCGTTCCCACCCTTCTCTCCCTGTTCTAGTTCTGGCCCAAACCTGCTTTCCCACATCCACCAAGGGGGAAGCCATCACCGCTCCGCAGTTTTTTCTTCTGGCTCTACTACTGAAAAGTTTGGTATTGTCTCCTGAATAATTAATTTAATTATCCAAAGAAAATGATGGAACATTTACGGCTAATTTATTGCAAGCTGACATAACTCTGCACAGAGCCCCAGGCGCAGCACAGGGAGAGGCTGCCTATTCATCCCGAGACAAGCAAATGGGATTGACTACCCAGAGATCAGTCGGGACATTAAACACCATGATGGATGGGACAGGAGTCTTCAGGCCTGGGATTTACAGGGCGCCTTGCACCAAGCACTGCAAGAGCCTCCTCAACATCAACTAAGCCTCAGGATGAGGGGACCCACCTCTGCCTCCATGCTAAAGAAGGGGGACGGGTGCTAGGACTGGAGAGTGGTGTGCAGACTGGACCCGCCGCAGGACTAAGACCCTGCTGCCTGAGCAGAGCATCTCAGATGGAAGGTGCACGCCAGAGGGCGTCTCGGGAGTTAGGATCCAGTCTCCATGGGCTCCACAGAAAGAGCAGAGTTTGTTGTGTTTCAGGGAACTTATGAGCTTTGTCATACCTCCTGCCCTGGATACATCTTGTCATATCACTATTGTCATATCACTATGATGGAGAGATGGCACCTTCTGAGCTTGGCTAGGCCAACACACCCCCTGCCTCTGCCCCCCAGCCAGCTTGGCCTGGGTCCTCCGTGCTCCCGTGGAGGGCTCAGGACAGGGCGATGCCTTAGTTCTACCCTCGCTTTGTGACCTGGGGCCAATGGCTTCCTCTCCTCCGAGGTGCATCTCTTGAACATCTTGTATTCGTTCCCTCTGATGGGATAACGCTCATGAAAGTGCTACCTATGCCATGGAGGATCAGCAAGTCTTCACATGGGCTCCCCACAAAGATGAAAAACCATGTGAAATCGTGGCCGGAGATCACTCAGCATGGACGTTTACAAGGCTGTCAGTCAGGCCTCCAGCTAACCAGATCCATCTGTTATGATCAATAGAGTTCTCTGCATTCCCAGTCTCTCTAGCCCAACTAATGTCGACCAAAACAAAGCCCCTGAGCAGGGACAGCGCTGAATGCAACCAGGCTGACCATCTCTCCTACAGTGAGAGCACAAAGTGCACCCGTGGCGGGGGCGTCCCGCCTAGCCCAGGCCTGGCGGCAGCCTGGCTACCCCACTGTCCCAGGAGGAGCA